TCATTGTTTACGAATACACAGAAAATTTATTGCATGTAAAATTTAGGATTCCTGTGGTAAAATAAAAAGATATTGTATTACTATTGTCTTAAAGATTAATGAGGCAAAAAGAACTCTGCATACAGGGAGAGCAGTCACTGTTTTTCTTACTAACATATTTGAAGAATATGTTCTATATGATATTTCTTATATTTTAGCATTTCTGACTTTACATATCACATTGTGGTAAATAGAACGATAAATATCTACTGAAAGGTAAATTGTTTTAAAGTACAATAACATTTTCCTATTATTTTTGCCATACTTTAATTTTAATTCACAAAATCTATTTGACATATTTTATACATGTAAAATATCTTTACTTTGTGCAGAAAAGGAGTTAATACTGATGAAGTTTTGCTTACTTTGGAGTCATTTAAATGTATTCCTAAAGTATTGTCATACAAATTAGGAAACAAATATCCCACACTCACTTAAATTTTTTATGCTATGAAAGAAAATTACTATGTTATAATAAAGCTTTGTTGACTTACCTAGCCTGAAACATAAGTGCTTAGTAAGCAGAAACCCTGCAATCTATTCTATTATGTGGAGGAATTAAAAAAATTTATTGTATCTTACTTATTTTGTTAGCAAGAATTTGAGATAGAGAAACTTAAATATGCAAAGAAAAACTCCCTGATAACTGTGCAACACAAATTGACTCATAATATATTAAAGCTTTATATCTGCTTCAACTATAGAAGAAAAATCCTAATCTTAGATTTTAACAATCATTTAAAAATCATCATTATTTATTAAAAATTGGGCAAAATGAGTTTAAAGTCCTGCATTTCAATGTCCTGGCATTTTATGGAATGCTAAATGAATATGGAAGCATTATAATTTACATTTCTTTTCATGTGTGCATATGTTGGTGATATTTTCAATGCCATGATTTTGTGATGCTTTATTTTAATTCCAAAAGGTATGAAGTGGGGTTGGGAAGGTGGCTCAGTGGTAGAGCGCTTGCCTTGCATGCCTGAGGCCCTGGGTTCAATTCCTCAGCAACATATAAGCAAAAAGAAAAAAGCAGGAAGTGGCGCTGTGGCTCAAGTGGTAGAGCACTAGCCTTGAGCTAAAGAGCTGAGGGACAGCGCCCGGCCCAGAGTACAGGCCCCACGACCGGACCCAAAAAAAAAAAAGATAATAAAATTTACTGCATATTATTTCATTGTTTTAAGGTTGTGAACTACGGTAAACATATAAGTTGTTGTCAGATTAATAAAATAAAAGATATATGTGTGACATTTCTTATTCTTTTATTCTGAATCACATTCTTCTATATTAAAACCACCATGTTTCGGGGCTGGGAAGGTGGCTCAGTGGTAGAGCACTTGCCTTGCATGCTAGAGGCCCTGCGTTTGATTCCTCAGCACCACATAAGCTAAAAGAAAAAAGCCGGAAGTGGCGCTGTGGCTCAAGTGGTAGAGCGCTAGCCTTGAGCTGAAGAGCTGAGGGACAGCGCCCAGGCCCAGAGTTCAGGCCCCACGACCGGACCCCCCCCCCCCCCCAAAAAAAAAACCACCGTGTTTCATCTTTATGTATGTAGGAAAATCTGGTCTTATTTATGTATTTATGTAAATTAATTATTTTATTAAATAGTTATACATAGGTTACAATTCCATGTCAGTTCAACAATACAATGCACAATGATATCTGTTCCATCGTTTCTTCCCTTCCAGCCCTACCCTCAAGTTGCATAGTTCCGTTTTTATATAATGTATTTACTGTGTTTTCTCACCTTTCCTCCCTCTTTTTGTATGCCCCTCCATCATTGCCGTTTCTTCTCAAACCTGGCCTTTCATCTGTTGGTTTCTGAAGTTGTGTTAGATTATAATAAGGCAAAGCCTCTCTTAATGTTCTGTTAATACAGCCAAAGAATATAGCAGAGAGAGATAAGTACTTACTTTTAACTTGTACCTTTACCTAGATATTAGTGTGGATTGGTCTATTTCTTAATGGAGTAGGAAATTTGAAAAACAACAACAAACTTTTCCTTTTAACTTTTTCCTTTTAACTTTCATCATCAGTCAGAAACTGTCCTTGGGGCCCATCCAGTCCTTGTAACAGACTGCTTTGTCTTTCCTTTTTCCTTTGTTACTTGCTTTACATTCTAGTATGGAGAGTGCTCAGCACCAATGTTAGCATGTCCTTAGAGATTTGGCAATCAGATAATCAGGGAAGAAACCGGGAGATTTTCAAGAGATTTTCTTACAGATTTAAGTATTCTTGGAATCTCCTAGAATTAAGATTAAATGTTAAATTAGGTGTTAGATAGTGACTTTTATTGTCCTGCACATAGACTCAATCAGTTGCTGTTACTAAATATTTTCATTACTCCAAAGCAGAGACTTTTTTTCCCTCTCAGTTTTTTCAAGTGAAGTGGGAACTCATGTAGCTAGATTAACTCAGCATTACAGTAGGATTAATTTTTTAATAGAATGTAAAATGCTTTGAAGTTGTTATCCATTTTATTATTGAGTAGCTTTTATGTAAAGCTGTGCTACATGGTTTGATTTATATTTGAAGTGTGTATTCTTGATGTCCATATAGTTATATTTTTTCCCATGAAGTTTTAACATTTTTTTCTTGGAGCACTGAAAGATTTCAAGTCTATTTATAGAAATAATGGTTATAATTTAGTCTGTTTTCATCTACTATATATCTAGTATATATGTATAGTCTTGTTCTGACTTTTGTGATCATTATCAATACATTAGGCTTTTGTCTTTATTATAACATGTTGTCAACTCAAAACTTAAGCAAGAAATTTACACTTTGCATTTGAGTCAGTAAACATCAGTTTAAGCAGAATGAATGTATGAAAGGTTTAAAAGCAAAGGGAAAAATTAGGTAGTGTATGAAAGATTTAATTTTTTTCCTCATTCATAATCTAATGTCATGTTAATGTTTCTCAGAAATTCAAACATGATTTGAGGAAAAAAGTATTCTCTTATGGGCATATCTTTGAAGATTTTTCGGCTTAACTCTTATTCTTAGTTTTCTCTTTTTTGAGATTTTATAGAACAAAATATATGCCTCATGTCTGACTTTGAAACAAAAATATCAGACCATTTTGATGATTACATACAATAAACATCTGAATAATCATGTAGACCTACTGGAAGGTCTCCCAGAATCTGATTTTGAGACAAAGATAATCACTTGTTAAAGCCTAAGGAATGAGCAGGAAAGAATGGAATTAAGACACAAGGAAGACAGGTAGGCAAGAAAGGAGAGAAGGAAGAAAGAAGTTAGGGAAGAGGCAGAAAGCTTCCATTTTATAACAGACTTTGTATTTAAAAAGAATTTGTTTCTCTGATAGCCAGCTAGTATGGTAGTTCTTAATGACCCAGATCTGGACTGTATCCAATCCTTGATCAATCATATCACAAATATTGTTTTTCCCCAATACTTTTTCTTTCTTTCTTTCTTTTCTTTTTTTGTTGGTCATGAGGCTTGAACTCTGGGCCTGGGTGCTGTCCCTCAGCTCTTCAGCTCAAGGCTAGCACTCTATCACTTGAGCCACAGTGCCACTTCCGGTTTTCTGAGTGGTTTATTGGAGATATGAGTCACAAGGACTTTCCTGCCTGGGCTGGCTTTGAACCTCGATTCTCAGATCTCAGCCTTCTGAGTAACCAGGATTACAGGTGTCTCTAACATGCAATGCTCTTCTCAGTTCTTAAGCAGTTATCACTACCTTTTACTAAAGCTTATCTGGCTTTTAAAGCCATGTAGCGCCATCTTGATCTGACTGTTATTGTGAAAAACTAAGCTGGATGGAAAAAAAGAAGGGAAAAATGCTAAAGAGAGAGTTGAAAGCAAGAAAGCATTTGGATCTGGAGTAACTGTTTTTAATATAATTTTAAAAGAATGTTCCCAGAATTTTGACACTTGGAATGCAAAATTTAAGAAGAGTATGCTTTACACTTAGGAGTTAGTATTTAAATCTGCTTTCTCTTTTGAGAATGTGCACTATTTGTTTAGATTTGAGTTTTAAAAGTATATAAGCAAATAGTTGTAAGCAGTAGTCCCTGTTGCAACACCATTTGAAAAGAAAGAAAAAGAACTCATAGAGAAAATTTTGGTAATTATTAGAACATTCTAGTTTGTGGATCTCTGTAACCTCTATGAATATTTATAGAAACTAATTACTTCATATAAGCTAAGATGTTATTTAGAATGCAATATGGTGAATAATTTTTAAATAAATATTAATAAAATTATGCATTATTTTTTGTATAAAAGTTGTAGCAGTTTTCACTACTAGGAGAAAGAACATCTTGATTTTTTTTGCTCTAAATAAACATTTTACAAAAGCTGCGTTTCTTTTTAAGAACTAAAAAAGTAAGTGGTAATGGGTTGATGGGCAAGGTCTGCTATGATTCCGTGCACATTTTGCTTGGATTTAAAAACTCATCTGAATTAAAAGGAATGTCATCTGAACTTCAAATAGGAAAGAGACTTCTTTTCTGTCCCCTCAGACTAAAAAATGATAAATGCTGATTAAATATTGAAAAGTTTATTGAACATTATCCTTTTTACCCCTGTGCAGTAACTTAACTTATTTTCTCAGAAAATAAACTCAGTTGTATTTTGTAATAGAGTAATACAGTTGTCTATATACCAGAGTCAAAGCAACAGAAATTGCTCTCTGCATTTTAAAAGATTGTTTATTATCTTTAAGTAGTTGTACAATGCAGGTACCATTTTATGAATGCAGTTTATGATCTAAATGTGCCTTGATCAGTGTCACCCCCTTCAACATTCTCACCTCCCTCGGCTCGCTCCTTCCCTTCTCTTAATTTTGTGGTATTTGCAATGACTTTTTGACCGCATTCTTCTTCTCCCCGCCCCCATTCATCTATACATTTTTAAATGAGAGAATTTCTCCGTAATCTCACTTTCTGAATGTATTATACTCACCGATTACAATACTTACTTTTGTATTTTAATAGATTCCTCCTGCATGGAAAAACTACTTTCAAAAGATTGGAAGGAAAAAATGGAAAGATTAAATACCAGTGAACTTCTTGGAGACATTAAAGGTACAATATAAAGAATGCCACATATGTTGATGCACAGATGTTAATTTGTATATTTATATATTTGTTGGTCTCTATATCACACTAAATTCTTACCTATAACACTTGGTTGAATATGAGGGATAGATGCATAACATGTCCTTGAACTAAATCCATTGCAATGTTTACAGAAAGAAATATCTATCTTCTCTTGTTCATTCTATAAATATATGATTATAGTTTATACTGTCTCATGAATTTACTTGACCCAATGTATGACAAAAAATATGTCAAAAATGTACAGCGATTTAAAGATATTCTTAGTTTTTCTTTTAATAATAATAATAGCTTACCATGAATAATGAATACCAGGATAATTTGAATTTTCTCTGATCAAAAGAGGTTACCTGCCAGGCCTTTAAAAAAGTTTATGGAGTGTACTGTATGTGATGATTTATGGGTAAACTCTGAGGCTCCTTGCCTCAGTTCACATTTTGGCCATGCCACTTACTACATAAGTAGCAAACAATTTTTCTGTTTTATATCTCTTATCACTAAAATGAACATAATAGTACTTAGTTCATAGGCTCATTAAGAGATTTAATAAAGCTAAAGTTCTTAGAACTACATGTTTGATTCTTAAGAAGGTACTCATGAATGACAGAAAGATATGATGTACTAGTTGTAGTATTAATATGGCTGTAAAATCAGAGATTGATTAATCTCAAACAGACTTGATAGAACTTAGCATTTCATGATCTCTGCCTCAGAAAAACCTCTTTACATTTTTAAATTAATCAATTATTTAGTTTTGCCCAGGCAAGGGCTGGGCAATCACTATTCATCCACATCTCTAGCCTACATATGTCTACATGTTAAGAAGTGGGCAATCTATTTCACAATTAAGATAACCAGTAAGAAACGATATTTCATAATTATTCAAACTCTCCCTTGTTGACTCATGAAGACAAAGTACTCTGCTTCTAGTTTTCTGAATAAAGACCAAGATTTATAGTCATTTGTTCTGTCAATAAATACTCTTTATTTACTCTAATAATTTGAGAATTTAATTATATCAGCTTTCTGAATTATCAAACCATTTAGGTAAATCTTCCTATTGGTTGTGGATAGTATCTCAGTTAAGTCACAATTTGGCAATAAGAATCTCATGAAAATGTTATTTTGGCCTTACTACAGAAAATTGGGTAATATTCAGGGCATGTTCAACTTAAATGAAGAGAAAAAGAAGTCATCCTTTTGCTGATGAATAATCAATACTTCATTACATTAACTAGTACAGTGTCAAAATCAAGTGAAAATTGAATATTACTTAGAATTTCAGTGCTTCTGTTTTGTACCCATAAAGGCCATTTGCTATTTTTGAAAAAAAAATCCCTCAACTTATAACTGACAGGTAGAAAGAAAGTCATTAGTGACATATTCTCTATCCAGCTGCAATAACATGGTGTGTGCTACTTCGCACGTCATTCTGTGTTTTCCTCCCTTTCCAAAGTCACTGGTTTTATAACACAGAACAGAAATGGTTTATGCAAAGGCAAGTTTTTGCCAGCAGGAATGATAGGGGTCTTGCTTTCTCTTAGTAATGTAGAAGCTAACATTTTTAATCTTATGACTCAACATCGAATTTTTGTACTTCAGGGTATATTTCCCCACATGTGTCTCATCTTTTTTTATATTTAATTTTAATTATGAATGTCAAATCCAAATAAATGTATAACTCTTATATGCTCAAAATGCATAAAGTAAAACACATGCAAAATTATACTTTCCAATTCTTTTGTTTTTCTTTTTCTTCCCTGGGTTATTTATGTGATACACAAACTTTTATTTGTGTGCTATTCTGAATTTTATGTTCATTAAAGATAACAAAGATAATATTCACATTGAATTTCACATTTTAACATTCTATATTTTTGTCTCTTCCATTCTAGTACTTTGTCATCATATATTATATTGAATTATACCAATGAAAAATTTAGCTAAAGTGATAGGCAAATAGTTTGAGTTAAACACTTTTAAACCTTTTCATTTTAAATTAGATAAGGCCAATTATTATTTATTTTATTTATGGTTATTGTAAAGACGATGTACAGAGGGGTTACAATTATGTAAGTCAGATAAGGAGTACATTTCTTTTTCAACAATATCACCCCTTCCCTTAATCTCTCCTGGCTTTTCTCTCCCATCTCCATCCACAAGTGGTAGAGTTCATTTTTAACATGGTGTCTAGTGAGTACCACTGCTGCATTTATTCACGCTTTGTCTCACCATTTTTGTTGCACCCCCCCAATCTTCCCAAAGACAGATGAATGAATGAACAAGACAAAAGAAAAGAAAACAAAACAAAAACAGCAACAAAGAAAAAATCCCTCTTGTGTATATATCCTGGAGTTCCTTTTGATAAATATTATTTTATATGATGATATAGCTATTGTGCCATTGTGATCCTCTCCTAAGAATATCCTTCTTTGGTCTCATTCTGTGTGAATGGATAAGGTCAATTTATCCATGCTTGATAGGAAATATACTCATTACCTTACTCATGTAACTTTAACCCTTCTATACAGTATTTTTACAATAACATATATAAGAAAAAAAGAAAAAATACTATCTTTATTCCAAAATCTAAAGCAATCTATTCACTTAAGGTGTTTCAGCATTTGATATTGCCCGATTACAAAATACGTACATTTATTTGTAAAATGAATGAATGAATATATGTGTTAAAATCTCATAAAATTAGTATCAACTTTTTACTATTCTTCATCTTTCTTTCCACTTAATGACATTCTATAGATTTCCCTGAAGATTGAACCCAAGGCCTTGAACATGCTAGGCAACCATTCTATCTCTGAGTCACACCCCCTACCCCTCAATTATTATTTTTGCAGAAAATATGGCATAAAATAAAGCTTTCCATAATTTAACTGAGTCTTTTATTCAACCTTTAGTTTGGTAATTTTTTCCTTTAAATGACTTGTCTAGTTTTTACTAGTTTGTAGGAATGCTTAATATATATATTTTAACAGTATTAAACTCTGTCAATTATGTTGTATTTCATCATTTGCTTGATTTCATAATGCTTTCCGTCCCCTTTAAAATACTTCCTTCTGTAAGGAGTTTGCTTCAAAGGGCTTCTCCCTCTCTGAGATTAGATAATACTTTTCCATATTTTCTTCTATTTAGTTGGCTATATTTTAAAGTATTTAACCCTTTATTTTTCTAAACTAATGGTAATAGAGGAATAACAATTTTTCTCAAGCAGTAATCAAATATTTTTGCACTGATCATTAAATCATTCATATCTCCTCTGATTTGAAGTAGTATCTTTTATTTATTCATTTAATAATGCTAACAGCAAAACTTATTTTATTGAAAGCTGTCTTCTGAAAACAGATCCTGTAAAAGGTATTAGACACATTGCATGTATTCTATGTAAAGCTACGTAAATGAAAACAAAAAAGGATATTAAACATGATCTCTCATCATTACATAGAATGAAGTAATGTCTTTTTATTTTTATGATATATTAAAATTTTAACTTTATACTATATTTTATAATGCTTTTCATAATTTTTACTTAAGATAATTCATAATATTTACACATCTTGGACTTTTCATCATAAGTTAAAATCCCAAAGTAATTCTTCAAAGATTACTTTTTGTATAACACTACAAAATAAACTGACATGATTATAAAACTGAATATTTACATTAATAATTATTTATTTAATACTTATATGTTTCTCAGAAATGTTTTGTTTATAAAATATACTCCATATACTTCCTTTGGTGTTTTATTCATAACATGAGATATACTTCATTTTATTTTTTTATGTTAGTATATTTAGAGATTCTTATAATTTTTGTCTATTTATTTCACTGTTTTATTGTTAGAATTTCCTTCTTCATCAGCCTTCCTAGCTCTAACCTTATTTCAATTGATACATCTTTATCCTGTTTCCAAATTACATTGCCTAGAATGTTAAAAATATTACTAAGTAATAGTTAACAGATATTTTTGCCTAGTTTTTATTTTATGACATTGCCTATACTATTTCATGTTAGATATTCTGTTTACTATGGATTTAAATATTTTTATCATTTAAAAATATTCTACTCTATTAAGAGTTTCCACAAGATACTGCATTTTAGTTTATAGCATGCCATATTGGTTTTGTTTTTTTTTAAATTTATTCTTAAAATCAACACTAACTAGTCATGGAATAGCCTCATTTTAATATACTGTATAGTTTTATTTGCTCATATTATAGTTATTATTTTTGTATCTGTAATGGGATTAATTTATGTTTTTCTTTATTTGTACTGTCTTTGTTAATTTTTAGTTCTAAAGTTCATGCTGGAATTGGGTAACTTTTCCTCCTCTCCTAGGCAATGTAAAATAAAAACACCTGGGCTTGGAATTTTCTTTGGAGATAATTGTTTTGTTTTGTTTTGTTTTGTTACATTTTATACTTCTCTATAAGTTGGTTTGCCATAGCATATTTTTTTATAAAAATGTCTATTTCTAATATTTTCAAATGTTAGTGTTAATTTTATGTGCAATAGTAAATCTACAGTTTTAACTCATATTTATTTGCTGTTCTATATTTGACTTTTAGTTTTACATATTTTTGACCTCCCTCAATAAGCATCCAATTGCTGGATTTATATGTTGATTTTGCTGCTTTTCAGTATGCCAATTAATCTTGCTTTAATTTTTATTATCTCTTGCCTCCTTATTTTTAGATGCTTTTTCTTTTGTCTATTTTAATATTCATTACCTATAATAAAGGCACTTTTGAACAGGTACATGTCTCTAGAAATGGCTTCTTATGCCCTACCAGTTCAATTTTAGAATTCTTTTTAAATTTTATTTTATTTTATTTTATTTTTTGGTCCGGTCGTAGGGCCTGAACTTTGGGCCTGGGCGTTGTCCCTCAGCTCTTCAGCTCAAGGCTAACACTCTACCACTTGAGCCACAGTGCCACTTCATCAATTTT